TCGAGTCTAGGCCCGACCTGACCTTGGTGTGAAGTGACATATCTGAGACCTGCCAATGGGATGTGTTAGACGATATAGGCAGTGATCATAAGCCAATTCTGATCAGCTTCCCACTAAGTAGTAGCCAAGAGAGGCTAAAGAGGCGCAGAGCATGGAAATACCCCAAGGCCTACTGGGGCCTATTCTGGGAAGAAACAGATGCTCAAGTAGGGCCAAGGCCCAGTAAAGTAGGTGACATCAATAGAGCATACAACAGGTGGGCCGCAGGTATAGTTAAGGCTGCAAACAAGTCAATTCCATGCACAATAATCGGGAAAAAGGCACACCCGACCTGGAACCGAGACTTGGCAAATTTGATAAAGAGAATGAAAGAACCCAGAAAAAATGCGTCCAAATCAGTCATGGAGCGAACACTCTACAACTCGCTTACAAAAGAGATAGGGAAAGTGTCAAAAACACTAAAGAAACAAAAATGGCAAAACGTGTGAAAAGGTGGATATCAGATCCAACCCGTCCAGCACATGGAAGTTGCTCAAAAGTCTAACAGGAGTAGATAAGGTCAACCCGAGTCCAATAGCAGGCAACAAGGGTGGAAAACTTACAAATGACACCAAGATAGCAACCGCTCTAAACATCCATTTTGCGAAAGTAAATGCGACAACGATATGGATAGGGAGAGAAATGCAGGAGAAAACGATATGGTACTTGACGATACCAGCCTCATGTCCTCCCCGATAACACTAAGGGAACTGGAGTGTGCCTTAGCAAAGTGCAAACTGGGAACTGCCTCGGGGTCGGATGAAGTGTCCACGGACATGTTAACCCACCTCGGGCAGAAGGCAAAGATAGCACTACTGCGAATAATCAATGCGTCGTGGAAAGCAGGAAAAATACCGGACGCATGGAGATGTGCCACAATCACGCCATTGCTGAAGTCAGCCAAGAAGGCAGATGACATTGAGAGCTACCGGCCAATAAGCATAACGTCATGTGCAAGCAAGGTAGCGGAGAGGGTTGTGCAGGCTAGACTATATTGGCATTTCGAAAGGGGGAAGCTCATACATCCAAATCAAGGTGGCTTCAGGCGAGGAGGACAAGCAACTGATCAGGTGGTCCGGTTCACCCAGTCGGTGGTGAACAGTTTCCAAAGAAAAGAGAGTACGCTTGCTGTCTTCCTGGACCTAAAGCAAGCATACGATAAAGTGTGGAGGAAGGGTTTGCTATTAAAACTCCAGCGTATGGGGGTACCCGGAAACCTCTACTTCTGGATCAAGGACTTCCTGAAAGGCCGCCAAATCAGGATGAGATATGGCACCCAAATCTCCGATTATACCATACTACATGAAGGGCTACCACAAGGGTCTGCCCTAAGTTGTATTTTGTCTCTGGCTTACATCAACGATATGCCTGATGAAATCGACTCGCAAAACGCACTGTTTGCAGATGACGCAGCAATGTGGCGAACGGGCGAAGATGCACTGAAGATGGCAAAACTTCTCCAAACGAGACCTGGATTCGGCTTAAAAGTAAGATCAAATTACCAAGCAACAGAAAGAAGATAAGAGATGTGCCCAAGACTAGACACCTTCTGGAGAGAAGGCCTAAAGTTACAGAAAATAGGAGTGATAGGGAACATGTACTGGTGGTTAAAAGATAAGATTTTTTAACCTACGGAGTGGTAAGAACAACATTTTGAAAGGTGTTGTCGCGGCTAATTGGTAGGAAGAAGGGCTTCCGCTGTGTGCTCTTAGAATATACGACCTTCCCAAAGTAATAAAAAAGTGAAAAGCCACTATTTGCCTACGACATTACGTTTAGGACTACCGGAAAAGGTGTAACAATCAGGAAACGAAATCTGCAAAAAGATCCCGATAAAATTGAAAAATACTCAAAATGGTGGATGTCTATTCACGTTGTGTCGTAAGATAACAAAAGTACCGATCCTATTCACTATCAGCGAGATTAGCAGAAGGTACACAATTCAAAATCCGGAAATCCATTGCTCAATGGAAATGGTAAAATACTGGAGAAACAAAGAAAACAAACTGGGAAATGTTTGTATTAAAAAAAAAATCAAATGATAAAGGAAAATGTCCACAAACAAGCTAGTATTTTTAAAAACCATTTGCCACCTCAATAAATGCAATACTTAATACGGCTAAATCCAAATTTCCACGCAAATTGTTAATTAAGCTAAATACCATACTCAGAAAATGAGCTTAATTAAAAAGTCCAAGAATTGGCATTGGTTGTATATATTGTATCTTCATATACCGAGTACGTGGCATTGGGCAATGATGCTCAAGAAGCAGATTCAGTACAAGAAATGGCATTGTTTGTATACTGCTTTATACTGTGTCTTCATGCACATAGTACAGGCAATGAAGCTTACTTAATAAGCAGTTTCAGTCCAAGAAATGGCATTGTTTGTATACTGCTTTATACTGTGTATTCTGGCACATAGTAGAGGCCATTGGGTAATGAAGCTTAATAAGCAGTTTCAGTCCAAGAAATGGCATTGTTTTTATACTGCTTGATGGTGTATCTTTATAAACAAGGTACATGTCACTAGGACATGAAGCTTAATAAACAAATACATATAATAAATAAACATATTATAACTCTTTGACTGCAAAGTTAGGGATTGCCTCAAATAAACGTTAAAAGTAAAGTGGAGAAATTTATGTTCTAATCTTAACATGTTCAAAAACCTGACCAAAGTATGGAGATTACTAAAAACTTTAAATGGGAGGAAAAAAAGAACCCAAGTCCAATTTCCACAAAAGAAAATGGGAAAATAACAAATGATAGTAGCAGGGCTGAAGTCCTAAATAGGCACTTCGCTGCAGTTAGTAAAACAAAGAAATGGAATAAATCAAGTACAGTAAAAGATAATGGAGAAAATAGAGATAAATGAAGAAAACATAATGTCTTCCCCATTAACAAAAATTGAATTAGAAGAGCAATAGCCAAATGTAGAAAAAATACAGCCGCGGGGAAGACAAAATTTCAACAAATATGTTACAAAAACATAGGTTCGGCGACTGAGAGTAAACTACTAGAAATAATAAATGAAAGTTGGACAAAGGGAGTAATCCCTGACTGTAGGTGGCATGCAGTAATCACTCCCATACTCAAGGAAGGCAAAGCATCTACAGAGGCTGAAAACTATAGGCCAATTTCAATAACCTCCTGTGTCGGAAAAATAATGGAGAGAATAATAAATGAGAGACTTGACTGGTACCTGGAAAAAGAAAACCAAATCTACCCTGACCAAAGTGGATTCAGGCATGGCCGACAAAGTATAGATCAGATAAATAGATTCACACGACCATCTACCAATATTACTAACGATAGGCAAAAGTGACGCAAAGCAAGGGCACTCACGCCAGGCCACTAGGAAGTACAAGAGCGCGAATAGGCAAAAGTTTACAAATTCAACCAACGGTTGGAAAATACTGAATGTGGTAAAGAAAGGCACAATAAGTGAAATGTATCAAAGTTGTGCGACTTTGTATTTAATTGTGCAAAAAGATCAATCCCCATGGGGAACACAAAGTACAAGAAATGGCCTTTTAAAAATAAAGAGCTCGACTCTCTCATAAAAGAACGCCAGGAGGCGAGCTTAAAAATCGGCAAACGCCAGAGCCCAATAAAACGAACTAATCAGGAAGGTTAGAAAACTAACAATCAGACTCAAAAAGGTTACATGGCATAAAAAATGTCAGAAACTTTATCTAAAAAGGGATTCGGCAAAGGTGTGGAACTTGCTAAAGACCCAGCAGGCGAAAAGCTAAGGTTAAACCCAAGTCCCATAATCCCCCAGAATGGGACAGTAGCCACATCAGACAAAGAAAAAGCCCAAGTCCTAAATAGGCATTTGCCGAAACCAACAAAGCCCAAACGCTGGACAAAGGAAGGGAAACGAATAGACAGAGAGAGAGAGAGAATAAGTCTGGAAAAAGAAATCAAAATTGATGTTAAATCAATTATGTCGTCACCCTTTACACAGAGTGAATTTGAAAAAAGCACTTCTTCAAATAACGAGTCTTGGAACAAAGGGAAAGTTCCGGACCAATGGAGAGCTGCGAAGATAACAGCCCTCTTAAAGAATGCAAACCGGCTGAACAGGCCGATGGCTACCGTCCAGTATCTTTCTATGCAGGAAAAATTGCCGAAAGAATGGTCAATAGGCGCGTATACTGGTACATGGAAAAAGGAAAGCTGATAAACAAAAACCAATGTGGTTTTAGAAAAAATTGGCAGGCCTCAGACCAAGTGATACGATTTACCCAAGTGGTAATTAACGGCTTTCAAGAAAAAGAAAGAACACTTAGGGTTTTCGTTAGACCCCACGCTGCAACTTAACCTGCATGTGGAGGAAATAGTAAACAAGGCCAGTGTTAAACTCAGCATGGTCAAAAGGTTAGCCGGCACCAATTGGGAGGCATCGGCGAGCACCCTAAGAGGCCTATTCATGGGTGCAGTACGATCAGTCATTGACTATAGTGTGCCTGTAATAGCTATAGCTAGTGACACGGCGCTATTAAAAATAAATCTAATCCAAAACCATGGGTCTAGGCTTATTTGTGGAACCTTCGAGAGTTCGCCCATCTCAGCTGGGCAAGTATTAGCTAATCTAGGGTCCTCCAAATTAACATAAACGGGTTATGGTCAAAAGAGTCCAGGGAGAAAATAGATATTGCTCTAATTCAAGAGACGAGGCTGCGAGGAAAGGACATCAGTATTGAGGGTTACAACTACCCGGTATTTCAAGTGTGACTGCCAAAAGTGCAATGGCTCAATGACAATAGAGGCGACCTAAGACATCAAGTCACATCTAAGAAAACCAAATTCAGACTGCATAACCATAAAAATTTGAAAAATGGCAAAGCATTCAAACTTTTAAATATTTATTCACCCTCCAAGACTAAACATCGATCTAAACTTGCAATTCAAAACCAACATTTCTACATAGTGGAAATGTTATTGAGTATAGGCCTGATATTACTCTAATATCTAATGGTATAGAAACAAACACAAAATGGAACGTTCTCGGTGACATTGGCAGTGACCACCTACCGATTCAATTATGCATTAAACTAGATAACACTCAAGATGAAATACAAGAAGAAGACGGACCACTACTGTGGCAATACACCAAAGCAGACTGCGCCCTTTTTGCCAAAACAGGTGACACCCTTTTAAAAGAAACCAATAACTTGGTGAATAATTTCAGAACACTGGACCAGAAATATGACAATTGGACAAACTGTGTGCTAAAGGCTGCGGCAACTGCCATCCCTAGATTACGTAAACACCACAATATAAAGACGCAAAATTTGCAAATCACAAAACTGTCTAAAATGAGAAACCATGCTCGATCACTAGCACCAACATCAAAGCTCAATAGATTGATATATAATAACCTAACAAGAAAGTTGAGGCTACTATCCATTAAACTGAAAAGGGAACAAAGGAAGAAACTCTGTGAAAATATCAACCTAAGGAAAAACCCAACAAAGGCTTGGGCATTTGTTAAAAGACTAACTGGTGAAACAAAGAAAAATAACCCCAGCCCAATAGTCTCGGAAGGTAAAACCTATGTTGAGGACAAAAGACGTGCGGAAATCTTAAACATTTTACATCAGTGGGGAAAACAAAAAAATGGTTAAAGACAAGTGGGTTACTAGACCAAGAAAGAAAAAGAATGGAGAAGGAAATAAAAATAGATGATGCAAGCATAATGTCCTCTCCATTTACTCAAAATGAAATACAGCGCGCAATAGCCCAATGTAAAAAAAACACTGCAGCTGGAGCTGATAAAATATCAACAAACATGCTAAAAAACATAGGGCCCAAGACTAGAACTTATTTACTAGACATAATAAATGAATCCTGGAAAAGAGGGGAGATACCCAACATTTGGCGACATGCCATAATTACCCCGATACTAAAGGAAGGAAAGAATCCTACAGAGGCGGAAAACTGCCTACCAATATCAATAACATCATGTGTTGGGAAAATAGCGGAAAGAATGGTCAACAACAGAATGTACTGGTTCCTAGAAGGCTCTGATCTAATTCATCCAGACCAGAGCGGTTTTAGACATAACAGGCAAAGCATAGACCAAGTAGTAAAAATAATCCTAAACATACAGGATGGATTCCAATCAAAAGAAAACACTGTGGCAGTACTAGTTGACCTCAAACAGGCTTATGACCGAGTCTGGAGAAAGGGCCTCCTTTTAAAAATGCTAAGATTTGGCTTTGACGGTCGCCTATACCACTGGATAAAAGACTTCCTCACAAATAGAACTATATCCACAAAATTTGGATGTCAAATTTCTATAAAAAAATAAAGTTATGGAAGATCTGCCGCAAGGCTCCTCGTTGAGTTGCACCTTATTCCTCATATTTATAAATGATATGCCAGATGCAATAAAATGCGGAAAGGCCATCTTTGCAGATGACATTGCTTTATGGCAAACAAGCAAAGACCTAAATTTAATACCGTACAAAAAAGTCTACAAGATGACTTGGAAAGATTAAGAACCTATACAAAAAAGTGGAAAAAAGCGGAGAACATTCTTAAAACCACATATTCCATGTTCACATTAAATAGCAAATTAAATCCAGGAAACTTCGAACTACATTTTGGTTCAGGGCCTATAAAAAAATTTAGAGTACCCCAAATACTTGGGGGTTACTCTTGACAGGAAACTAAAACTCCATAAATTTGAGGAAGAATTGGTGGCCAAAACAGAGAATAAACTATCACTATTAAAACGACTCGCAGGCACAAGCTGGGGAGCCCAAGCAAGTGACATGAGGGCCTTATACATGAACCTTTTGAGATCAATCATAGATTACACGTCTCCTATACAAAACCTAACAAGTAACACCAGCCAAGGAAAAATTGACTTTATTCAATCACGAGTCACACGACTAATATGTGGAACAATGAAGAGCTCCCCAACAGCGGCTGGAGAGATACTGGCAAATTTGGAACCCTCAAGCCTAAGGAGGGAAAAAGCCCAAATTGATCTTATAGAAAGGCTGAGGAGACTAAAACCCGGTGACCCTTTGAGAGTCATGGCCGATGAACCTACACACTCAAGGATCAAACCAGAATCTTTCCTCAGCGGCTTCAAAAGACTGCAGTCCCATATAGAATTACCTGCGAAAAGAAAAAGGCTCAAGGAAGTCCAGTCCGGCAGACCTGATAAGATGTGTAACCTAACTATCAGAGTAGGAAGCACAAAACAAGGAAGAGGAAATTTAAAACAAACATTAGCCTCAGAAATAATAGACACGTATAGCAAGAACAAGAAAATGCATGTCTATATCGACGGGGCAAGAAGCAAAACCGGCTCTGGGTATGGAGCTGTTATCCTACTTAATGAACATAAAGAACCACTGGAAATGTATGGGCCATGCGGATCCTTCACTACCAGCAATCAAGCAGAAGCTATCGCTTTTAAAATGGCTCTAGACAATCTCATTGAAATTTTCACAAAAACCAACCAACTTACATCAAAGACATTGTCATTTTCACCGATAATAAAAATCATCTTAAGAAATCTGAAGAGAGATGAGCCTCGACCATAAGTAGCGTCATCAGAAGGTCAAACATAATTGATAGAGACTACAAAAAAAAAAGATCTTCCTACCATGGATACCAGGCCACTCTGACAGTTTGCTCCACAACAGAGCTGATGAGATGGCTAAGAATGGAGCAAGGCTCAAGCAACCAGATCATCATCCATCTTTTGAATCTCTGAAAGGAAGGCTTAAAAGTGTATACCATGAAAAATGGTTGACACAGTGGGCTAACTGTAATACTGGAAGGTCCGTATGGAGATACCAAAAAGCTCCAAACAGCTCTGACCCATGGTGGTCGCTAACAAGAAAACACCAAACAACCATATCAAAAATCCGGACAAAACACTGCCCAACTGGAGAGTATCTTAAAAGAATGGGGAAGAGAACAGATGATACTTGTCGGCACTGTAACAGTGCAGTCGAAACAATTGAACACTTAGAGACCTGTCCAGACCTTGATGAGGTCCGAATACAAGTTTTTGGAGCAAGAACACCGAACCTATGCCCATACGGAACACTGGACGAAATAAAACGTGTAGCAAACTATTTTGAGAAAGCTCTCACCGAGTAGATACAAATTTCTTATTCATGGCTCGTTGTATAAAAATGTGTAGTAAAAAGATTTCGGCAATGCTCTAGCTGATTGGCCCTAAAAGTCTATGGGTTGTAGCTATTTCCAGCACAGCTCTAGCTGAATAGTATTACACATTCCTCGAGAAAAAAAATGTAAGGTTTAACCAACTATCTCATCACAGCTCTAGCTGAGTAGTTTTAGAAAGTCCTTGAGTTAAAAATGTGAGGTAAAACAAACTATTTCAGCACAACTCCCACTGAATAGTTTAAAACGTCCTTGGATTAAAAATGTGTGGTGAAGTCAACTATATCAGCACTGTACTCGCTGCATAGTTTATTTATAATGTCCTTGAATCTTACATCAATGTATAAACGTAAAAATGTATAAATTTATGGTGAAGCCAACTATCAGCACAGCTCTCGCTGAATAGTTATGAAACGTCCTCGATTTGGAAATATCATACATTATGCATCATGCATTGTGAACCATATATCATATACCGTGTAACATGCACCATATGTAGTGATGGACTTTAAAGTGTGTGGCACTAAAATAAATGACTACGCATGATTAAGACATGTCGTATGTCTTGAATCATGAGTCATGAGTAAATTGTCAGGTGTGGTATAGCAAACTATCTCAGTACAGTTCTTGCTGGATAGCTTGCAAAACGTCTATGTGATCCCAAAAGGCCATTTCAGCAATGCTCGCGTCGCCGAATGGGCTCGTGTGTGGAAAGTCTGATGGACTTTAAAGTGTGTGGCACTAAAATAAATGATTACGCATGATTAAAACGGTGGGCACCAACTAAAGTCAAAGGCACTTACAAGTCTTGTCAAAAAGAGAACTGGTGCAAAGAAAAATAAAAACAAATCAGTGTCATAAAAAAACGAGATAACCAACTAACAAATGAAATTAAGTCCCTTACACAGGATTTAAAATTAAATAAATGGAGGCACATGTGTGCAAACCTTGACATGAAAAAAAATCCAACAAAGGTGTGGAGAACATTAAAAGATTTAAACGGAGAGTTATCCACCGGTAACCCAAGTCCATTGATAGTGGACAACAAAAAACTTGTAACTGATTATGAGAAAGCAGAAGCGCTGAACATACACTTTGCCAATGTCAGCAAGAAAAAGAAATGGGACGATTCTAGCCGAACCATCAACATAGAACGAAAACAAAGAGAGCTTGAAATGTCAAAGTATGTGGATGAAACTAGCATAATGAATAATCCATTCACCATGATTGAATTGGACAGAGCTATAGAAAATAGCAAAAAAAAATACAGCATGACAGCATGTGGTGCGGACCGCATCAGCACCAACATGCTGAAAAACTTAGGCATCAACTCAAAAACCTTATTACTTACCATATTAAACAGAACTTGGGCAGATGGCACTATCCCCAACAGTTGGCGAGATGCCATTGTCACACCAATATTAAAAGAGGGCAAGAAGCCAGAAAACATCACTAGTTTCAGGCCAATTTCTATAACATCATGTGTAAGTAAATTGGCAGAAAGAATTGTAAACTCACGCCTCTACTGGTACATGGAGTCAAATCAGCTCATCCACCCCGACCAAGGCGGTTTCAGAAAAAACAGAAATGCATTGGACCAAGTAATACGGCTAACGCAAGATGTCATAGATGGCTTCCAAGTCAGAGCAAGCACATTGGCGGTTTTTCTGGATCTAAAACAAGCCTATGACAGGGTTTGGCGACTCGGCCTTCTAGTAAAATTGCTAAGACTATGTGTGAATGGAAAACTTTATTTCTGGATAAAGGACTTCCTAGGCAAACGAACCATGTCCACCAAAATTGGCATTATCAATTAAAAAGCTATATCAATAGAAGAAGGCCTCCCGCAGGGATCAGCACTCAGCTGCCTGTTGTTTATCATATTCATAAATGATATGCCGGACCATATTAAATGCAACAAGGCTCTTTTTGCCGACGACGCAGCACTTAGGGCCACTGGTCAAAATGCTAATGAAGTAAGCGCCATGATCCAAAAAGACCTTAACGATGTTGCAACTTTCGCCAAATCTTGGAAAATAGAAATCAACATAGAAAAGACTGTGGCCAGTGTATTCACACTCAGCCCAAACTTCAAAAGCAAATCCAAGACTTTATTCCTCAACAACAGGGCCTTGATGTATGCAAAACACCCAAAATATTTGGGTATCATTTTAGATGAAAAATTGAAGTTACACAAGTTTTCTGCAAATGTTATTGAAAGAGCAGAAAGAGTACTGAACGCTGTCAAGAAATTAGCAGGAACTAAATGGGGTGCAAAGGCCCCTGAACTGAAAACGTTATACATAAACGCAGTTCGTTCCATAATGGAGTACAGTTTGCCCATCCAAAATTTGTTGAGCCCCACATGTCTAAAAAATATAGATGCAATCCAAAATAAAGCCATCAGAATAATATTAGGGACAATGAAGAGCTCACCGATAGCGGCAGGCGAGATACTATCTGGACTAGAACCACTCCATCTAACAAGAGAGAAAGCTCAACTTATCACCATTGAGCGATACAGGCGCCTAACCATAAACGACCCTTTGAATTCAATGGCTCAGCAAACTGTTCAAAATAGAATAAATAAGGCGTCTTTCCTGAGCAAATGCTTTGACCTTGAAATTAGATGCACCGTAAATCTACCACAAAACAGGAAGAAGATACGTGACGTTCCTAAAGCCCGGCCCGACTTATATATCAACATGGTCGTAAGCTGTGATGTACCTGTGGGATGTGTCGGTGACCCGGACAAAGATGTTAGAGCGTCAAGCATAACACAGTCATTCAAAAATTCAGACTTCCACCACATCTTTGTCGACGGAGCCAAATGTGCAAATGGCACCGGGTACGGCATTTTCATGAATTGGAGACTGGGCCAAAAAACACCGCCCCTTGAATTGTCTGGCGTCTGTGGTCTACATTCCACATCAATAGAATCAGAATATGAAGCTATCAAAGTAGCACTCAAAGTGATACATGACTCTTTTTCAAAGGATGAAATCAGACCATACAATTGCGTCATCTTCACCGACTGTCAAAGTGTACTAAAGAACCTATTATCAAATCTACCTTTACCAAAACTAACGAAAATAAATCGTTTCATTAGAAAAATAACCACCACTTTCAACATTCAGCTCATCTTTCAATGGATCCCTGCTCATTCAGATGCTGAACTACACAATAAAGTACACAAGATGGCTAACGATAGTGCACACACACACCCAAAACAGGATGAAAGAAAGGTATCGTTTGAAGCTGTCAAGGCCCTTATCAAAGCCCACATAAAAAAGGCATGGACAAAACAATGGGCAGATGAGACCACCGGGCGAAAGGTTTGGACTGCACTTAAAGAGCCTGCAGCATATGACACATGGTGGCGCCTAAACCGCATAGAGCAGACCATCATCTCCAAGTTAAGGACCGGTCACTGCCCTACCAATTCCTACCTACATTTGATGGGAAAGATGGGCACAAGCCTCTGCAGGCACTGTGAAAATGACACCGAAACAATTGAACACATGTTGGTGTGTAACCACTTAATTGAAGCCCGGGAGAGATTCCTGCACAACCGAACTGGACTAATCCTCTACGGGACTGAAGAAGAACTACGCATGACTGCAAATTATTTCAACTATGCTTTAAATGAGTAACGTTGTCAAGTTGTTACGTTACAGCTTGTTGACATGAAATGTTCAAGACTGAAGAATGACGACTGAAGAGTGAAGACTGAAGGATGTAACAAACCTTTTCATCTCGACGCCTATACATGAGAAACTCAAATATCATAAATAGCATAAATAGCATAAATATCATGTATCATGTATAATGTGTGGTGTCTGGTGGACTCTACAATACGTAAATCTGATTATTCCAGCAAGTCCCTACTACAATTTTCAAATGACTATTGCATGAAGATATCATGTCATATATCATATACCATACGTCATGGTACATACGTTAAAAGTCGTATGTTGTTTGACATGTGTGGTAAAGAAAACTATCTCAGTACAGCTCTCGCTGCATAGTCTTCAAAACGTCCATGGGGTAGATAACCATCTCAGCAATGCTCTCGCTGAATGGTTTCTAAAAGTCTTTTGTGTGGAAAATCTTGGTTGACTTGGTATATGTGACAAACAGCCATTTCAGCAATGCTCTCGTTGAATGGTATTGTTAAACAGTCTCGTGTGTGGAAAGTCTGATGGACTTTAAAGTGTGTGGCACTAAAATAAATGACTACGCATGATTAAGACATGTCGTGTGTCTTGAATCATGAGTCATGAGTAAATTGTCAGGTGTGGTATAGCAAACTATCTCAGTACAGTTACAGGTCTTGCTGGATAGTTTGCAAAACGTCTATGTGATCCCAAAAGGCCATTTCAGCAATGTTCGCGTTGAATGGCTTTTTATAAAATCTCGTGTGTGGCAAGTCTGATGGACTTTAAAGTGTGTGGCACTAAAATAAATGACTACGCATGATTAAGACATGTCGTGTGTCTTGAATCATGAGTCATGAGTAAATTGTAAGGTGTGGTATAGCAAACTATCTCAGTACAGTTACGGCTCTTGCTGGATAGCTTACAAATACCGCTCATTGAAAGATTCAGAAGATTCAAGCCTGGTGACCCATTGAGAATAATGGCCAACCAAACAGTGTTTTCCAGAATAAACAAAGAATCATTCTTAAGTAGCTGCAAAAGATTACAACCAAGCTTCGA